CCATTGTGTACTGGATGTTAGTAGCCATCTGATTATCAACGTTAAACAGAAATGAGCCTTGGAAGGGTGAGTACTGCAGCCATGGCATTTAGAGACAGACAGGCCACACCTGCTAACAGAAGGGCTGCAACCACAACCTTGCTTCTTACTCTTGTTTTCATAACATGGGAGTCTTTAGATCAGCAACATCACCATTGTTTTAGAACTTACTAGAAATGTGGGGGTTTGATCCAAACCTACTGAACAAACAAAGGGTTTTAACTAACTCTTCAGCTAATTCTGAGGGATGCTGGGGCTGGAGAGCCTGGCTTTACACTCCTCTGTGAAATCAAACTCTCTTGGATGGAGGCCGGCATTAGTCTGATTTCAGTGACTCAGGCTGACTTGACCCTGTAGCCTGGGGAGCAGAAAGGGGATGGGATAGGTGGTCGGTGGGGGTGCAGGGGAGTTGGGAGGGATTGACATGCAAAACAAACTTGTTTCTAATTTAAATAAACATGAAGCAGCAGGCCAGATGTTTCATCTTCAGCATGGGGAAGCTGTTGCTCACAAGTGGCCCCTCTTTGGTGTTTGTCGTCTCAAGACTTAGTTCTTGACTTCACGGGATTCAAAAGCAGCCCCTGACGCACAGTGCACTCCGACTTGGAATGGCATACTTCCGACCTAAGTCCAAATCTGCCCAATCTTCTCCAGTCAGTGCTGCTTCTGGGGGCTAATGTTTACTCAGACAAAATGACCAGTCTCAATTAGTTTGGATCTCTAAAATAGTAATTTAATAATGTGCCAGTTCCACTGAAGTGAGTCAAAAGTTCACCTTTGTGTTTTTGTATTTATAGAGCAGTGGTTCTCAACCTTCCTAATACTACGACCCTTTAATACTGTGCTGACCCCAACCATAAAATTATTTTTTGTTGCTATTTCATAACTGTAGTTTTGCTACTGTCATGAATTGTAAATATCTGTTTTCTGATGGTCAAGACCCACAGGTTGTAACCACTCTCTAGTGCTTACTAACTGATAAATGCTATATAAATAGTTGGGAAAAAAACCTCTTTCAACCCAGGTTGCCAGGAAACAAACAGGGTGTGGTGGCCTACAAAAAGCACAGACATTTTCCACTGAATGAAAAATTTCAAAGAAGTAGAATGTTGCCAAAAAAAAAAAAAATAACATTCTAGGTCAAAATAAAACACCTAATGGCCGAGAGAGCACCCCTCTATGTGGAGTGAGCTCCCGAAGTCCATTCGTGTACTAGGAATAAATACTTATCCACTACGGGAGAGCCTAGGCCCTGCTCCAAATGATATGACAGACTTTGAAGATCCTCCATGGAAGGTCTCACCCTCCCTGGGGAGCAGAAAGGGGATGGGATAGGTGGTCGGTGGGGGGGCAAGAGAGTTGGGAGGGACTGACACGAAAAACAAACTTGTTTCTAATTTAAATAATAAAAAAAACACCAAACAGTATTTTTTTTTTTAAATCAAGAAAGGTAGTGAAGTTTGAGTAAACAAAAACTCGAGGACCAATGAAAGCTAACTAAAAATTTTTGAAAGAATAATTCTATATTAAAATAATTAAACCCATAATCAAAACTTCAGAGATGACTGTTTTAATATTGATAGGAACTAACCTGAGAAGGTGTGAAAGACACTGTAAATAAAGGGGAATCTTTAGGTTTTGATGCATTCAGAGCAATGTGTCTTCCTGGTGTCATTTTCCCATATCCTGATGTTTTGGACCAGTGCCTTGTTCGTGAATCTACTCTCTGTCTGATCTGTATTATTGAAAACAGGTTATCTCTGTTCTATTTCTAGTATTGACAAGTCTAAGAAATAGCTTTGGCTGCCTTCCTAAATTTCTTGCCTACAAGTCAGAACTAAATAAACTAATCGATGTCATACCATAGAAAGATAGTGGCAAGTTTACTCACGCTATTTTACAGCATTAGCTAATGCTGGCTTGGTCTAGAATGTTAAAGTTAGAAAGTGCCTGGAGATAGTGTGTGTCTTTCTGATTTTGTAAGGAAAGAAATTCAAGTCTCCAAAGTGGTGCAACTTGCCCCCATTTCTGTTGAGCACAGTGACAGAAGTGTAAGTAGAATTCTGACTTCCAGGCTACTAGCATGCTGCTTTTATACCCACAAAAGAAGGAAAAAAGACACGGATGTTAGAAACTCAGAGACCCAGAGACAGATGAATCAGGAAGAAAATGGTGTCTTTTGGGAGATACTGTGAGCAGAATTTTCTCAGCTAAATACCAGACGTACAAGAGAGTATAGACACTCGACAGGACCTTCAACCAGAAAAGCTACCGTGGCTGCTATTATCACTCAGGTGGCATCACTTTGATGACATCTCTCAGACAAGTTTCCTAACACTAGAAAATCCCACTCAGTTACAACTAAATCAGACCACAGGGAACAAACTCAGCAACTAGATGCTGAAAATGTTTGCTAAATGGATACTGAGCAATCTCAGCTCCAGAGCCATACACCCCACTGCACTACAGACACTGAAGGGCCTCCTCACTCTGCTTTCATATGCAGAAGTTGCTGCTTGCCATTGCTGCTAGCCTAGCCTCTAGAGTACACAACCATCAGTTCTTTTTATCGGTGCTGCTGCAGGAGATCAACCTAGGGCCTTGTCCGTGTTAGGCTGTGGTAAAATCAGCACAAACACTAACTGACCGATTGTCTGAAACCGACAACAACCCTGCATTTCGCCTCTCTCATAAGCCAGGCAGGAGCTGGAAGGGAACCAATAAGCAGGACGGCCCTTCCAGGAGATGCTGAGACAAGTTAAAGCACACAAGAATCAACTTAAGCCTCTTTCTTCAATTTAGATACTTTCCCCCCAACATCAAAAAGCATCAGATTTTAGTGACTTAAAGGAAAGCTCCCTCTTTCTAGGTTTTTCTCACTTGAACATCTTCATAGTCAAACAAAGAAATGCCCAGGAACATGAAAGCTGTCTGTACCTCCCAAAAGCAGGTGACTCAAAACAACAGAATCCAAACTTCAATACACGTGATTAAGCAATTCCTTTCTTTGCACAAAAAGCTCACGTTTGCTGGGATTTTAGCAGACACCACTTAAACTAAGATTAGGGCACCCTAAATAATGCTGTTCATATTATTATATAAATAAATGAACACAATGTGTATCTGCATGCAAGCATAGAGGCCACAGGGTGATGGCAGGAATGTTTCCTCCATCACTTCTCCACCTCAGTTTTTGAGACAGGGTTACTCACTGGACCTTGTGTCATTAACTGGCTGGAGTAGCTGGCCCGTGGGCCCGGGGATCTGCTTGTCTGTTGTTCTCACCACCCTGGCATTGGGGCTCCAGGTGCATCACTATACCTAGCTGTTTTTGGGGGAGGGTGGCACAGACAGAGTCTCTCTGTGTAGCACTGGCTGTCCTGGAACTGGCTCTGTAGGCCAGGTTGGCCTCAAACTCAGAGATTCACCTGCCTCTGCCTCCTGAGTGTGGGGACTAAAGGAGTGCGTGACTGTGCTTGGCCTTTTTCTATTTTCATTGTATTTATTTATTTTTTGTTTTCTTTACAGCTTTTTATGTGGATGTTGGAGATCTGAATTCAGGCCCCAAAGTTTGTATTGCAAAAACTTAACCCACTGACCCATCTCCCCAGCTCCCATCTTTTGTTTTTAAAGTTATTTTAATTAATTATTGTGGTGGTTTGAAAGAAAATGAGCTCCAAAGGGAGTGGCACTATGAGGAGGCGTGTCTTTGTTGGAGTAGATGGGGCCTTGTTGGAGGAAGTGTGTCACTGTGGGGTGGGTTCTGAGTTCTCCTATGCTCAAACCACGCCCTGTGACACAGTTCACTTTCTGTTGTCTGCAAATCAAGATATAGAACTCTTATCTCCTTTTCCAGCACCATGTCTGTCTGCATGCCACCATGTTTCCTGCCATGATGATAATAGACTAAACCTCTGAAACTATAAACCAGCCCAAATTAAATGTTTCCCTTTGGAAAAGTTGCTGTGGTCATGGTATCTCTTAACAGCAATTGAAACCAAATAAAACAACTATTATTTTGATTTAAAATTTTGTATTCCATTTTACTTATTTGTGTGTGTGTGTGTGTGCTGCATGCATATACCTTTGCTACCTATGGAAGTCAGTGGATAATCTGTGGAAGTTGGTTCACTTTGACCACATGGGTTATAGGAGTTAAATTCAGGTTGTCAGGCTGGCTGGAAAGTGCACTGACCCACTGAGCTACTGGACTGGCCCTCACCTTTGGTTTTTAAGTTACTACATTATCTGCTATTTCAGTGCTTCAGGATAAATAAATATAAAACCTTAGCATAATAAATATCTTTATTTTATGTGTGTTCACATTTGTGTGTGTGAATGCAGGTGTGTATGTGCTGTGGTATGATGTAGAGGTCAGAGGACAACTTCAGGTGTGAGTGGAGTCTGTTGTCTGTTACTACACTAGGCAGGCTGGCACATGGAATTCCAGAGATTTTCCTGTTTCTGACTCCCACTGGATTACACATCCTCTTTTATGTGTGGTCAGGGGATTTGAACCTGGGTCATCACACTTGCTCAACATCTCTTTTACTCTCAGTCCATAATTATATCTTATTGAGTATTTCTTGATTCTTTTGAAATTATTTTCATAAGCGTCCATTCACTAAAAATTGTTTTATTTGAATGACCTTGGATGAATAGACTAATTTCTATTTACATTCCAGATCTAATGAATGCTCATACCAACTTGCATTTCTTGGTTATTCGATCTACATACTTCTTAAGCAGCACAGAACTAAAACAATATTTATTTATCTGCTTTATGTCTCAAATGTTCCCATTAGGAATTTATTAAGGGAACAAAAATAGATAGAAATCAGAGCTGGCTGTGATGTGCATGTCTCTAAGCCCAGCACCTAAACATCTGGGAGGCAGAGAAGGCAGAAGGATAGTCTTAAGTTCAAGGTAAGCTCAGACTTTAAGTGGAGATCCTGTTCCAGAGAAACAAAAAGATAACCATTTCTGTATAGTTAAAAGATGGTGGATTTTTGTTTTTGTTTTGTTTCATTTGTCTTTATTTTTATTGCCAGGAGAAGAAAAAGTATTATTGAAAGTGACACAAAGATATATTGAAAATGGCTCTGAGGTCAAGTGCCTACAAATATAACACCATCCAAACTGAACCAACCCACCTGAGGCAAGGATTGCCTCAGGCAGTGCACATATCTGGTCACCTCTTTTTCCTTTTTCACAAATGTTCTCCTGGCTTTGTATGTATGTGTGCTCTGAGGCCTTCTCAGGCCTTGCACAGGTCAGTAATGAAAAGAGCTTATGGATTTCACATTCATGCGCTCCCCATTCTCCTGTCCCGTCTCCCTCAGCACCGTACTCCCCCACTTACCCAACTACCATGTCCTTGGGTCCAGCTACTACAGTGCAGATCCCGTCCTCACAGTGTTTTCCCACCAGGCTGTGGGCATGCAGGTGGATGTTTTTTCCATTGGTGACCAATTGAACAATAACCTTTGCAGGTCCCACATAGTTGCAAATCTATTGTGAGAAGCACATTTTTTAACAGTTAGTATATCTGACCTTGTTGTAAAATGGAACCAGTGAGCATAAACATAATATAAAATTTTGCAAATGTACACATACGTGACTATAATTCAACTTAAAAATATATGATGAACACATGACAGGATGGAAATAAACCAAAATGTTAGGGGGTGTTGCTTTATGTGGTGAGACTATATATCCAGGAAGCAAGCCATTTAAAACACAGTATGCATCATTAGCTTGGGCCAACACACACATGAGTCTTTAAGTAGTTCCTCCTTACTAACCAGCATTGCTTTTTCTTTGTATCCTTGTCACAATTTTTGGAGACAAAAAGTGGGAAAACGTTACATGACGAGAGAATGGATGACTGATGGAGTAAGGGAGATTCGTAAAAGAGTGTGTCTAACTCCTCGCCATATAATTAAGCCAGGAAGGAAGTTGTTCAGGAACTTGGCTCTGAAGGCTGGTTTTAACTGTGCAAGCCAGTGGCTTGGCTCACAGTCACCTAATAGGGCACCCGACTAGACTTCAGTCGCTTCCTCAGCCATGGATTCCAACACTTACACTGTAAGTGCTCAGGCCTCTTAAGTTTCTTAAATAAAAGAGCAAACCCCCTGACTGAGAATTCTTAGGTTTCACCTCTGGCTGTTTAGCTCTTATTTTATATAGTTAAGTTTTCCATGTAAGGTAATTTTTCACTTTCCTATCTTTAACACGATGAGAGCAGGAGGGGTTAACAGAAGAGACCAGGCATTCTTTCTCGTCTAGTTGACCATCCGACTTCGACAGCATAGATCCTTTCCCCAAGAAGCCCCAACATGAACATCACACCAGGACAAAAGCTCAATGGCATCATTTTCCCCTTCCCAATTCTATTAAGTCAGATCCTGCCAGAAATCCTACCTAGTGTTGGGAATGCATTGCATCTCTGGAAGCCCTTTCCATATAAACATGGAGTGCCTGCATCTGCTGATGGAGCTTCTGGTAAAGACACACACAGCCTTACTTCTAATACCTTCCCCATCAACTGGGTCCAGACTCCACGGAGGCAGGGCTCGGCAGGATTTATTATCAGTGTGGATTTTCCCCAACAGAACCTTTGATTGTCAGAGCTGAGACATTGGTAAGTGCTGGTATGATTCCCCAGAGAAGAGGTGTGGTACCCCTGAACAATGGTCTTCCCTCTAACTTGCTAGGCAGCTGCCCTAAGATGCCTCAAAGGCCTTGACTGAGCCCCATATGGCTTCTAAACCCAACCTCAAACTCATGAGATATTTCAAGTCTACAAACTTAATCCAGTTATGGTGTCTGGACGTGGATCTGTAGGAGGTAAAGTCAAATATGCCATAAGGGCCAGCCCCTCATCCAATGGAGCTGTGGCTTACACAAAGAGGAAGAGATACTTAAGCCAGGTTGGCCTATATTGTTATGTAATTTCCTGTCTTGTCCTGGGACTGCAGAGAGTTCCCACCAGATGCGGTTGCCCAAACTGAAGCCTCCCAACCTTCAAACTATAGACCAAATGAATTTTCACTCTGTAAATTACTTGTCAGCTATCATAACAAAAATAGACCACACCATACTTCTTTGCTGGGGCAAGGCCATCAGCAGGACTGCCTCCCCACACTGGTAAAACAAGCTAATTCAAAGAAGATTTTGCACTAACTTTAACCTTGACTATGCCAAAACATGAACCAATTTCTTAGGCACAGCACTTCAAGCTCTCTCTGGTATTAAAACAAAGTAAATCAGCAAGTGGTCTTTCCTAACAGGCCAAAGGCCTTCCCATTTAAGCATAGGACAAAGAATAAAAAGTTCCGTGTTTGTTGTAAGGGTGACTGTTATTCCTACATAGTCCCGGAATTGCTGATGCCAGCTCTGGGTGATCAAATCTGAAACCAGTCTGCTAATGATGTACAGAGGAGCACCAAGGCAAACAAGTGATTTTCCTTTTAACTGACAGTATGCACACAGGAGTTCAACAGGGTGAGGCTCGAGGAAGCGCTTCACTTGGGTGAAATCGGGCAAGCTAAGCTCTCCACTTCAGCAGAAAGAACACAGAAGGAAGGCCAGCCACTTTGGAATCTGAACTGTCTGATGCTACTGTGATGGGTGGTTAGTCACTGGTGCTGACGGAGAGAGGTGGGAGGTGTGTTCACTTGTTTTTCTTACTACTAACTTCATGGTTGATGGGTGCAAGAATGAGGAACTGGGAAGACTCTGAGGTAAGGAACCTGAAAGATCTGCCAGTGACTAATGTGCTGTTTGATCCATCTGAAGGAGTCCAAGCCAGGATGGCTTCATTTGGTTTTTACACAGACCACAGAATAAAAACAGGGAGGTCCCTGGGCTTTCTGTACTTTCCAAGATAGATAGATAGATAGAGACAGAGATAGATAGAGAGAGACAGAGAGAGAGAGACAGAGACACAGACAGAGACAGAGAGTGAGAGAAAGGGAGGTCCCTGGGCTTTCTGTACTTTCCAAGATAGATAGATAGATAGAGATAGAGATAGATAGAGAGAGAGAGACAGAGAGAGAGAGACAGAGACACAGACAGAGACAGAGAGTGAGAGAAAGAGAGAGAGGGAGACAGAGAGAGAGAGACAGAGACACAGACAGAGACAGAGACACAGAGACAGAGAGTGAGAGAAAGAGACACAGAGACAGAGTGAGAGAAAGAGACACAGAGACAGAGAGTGAGAGAAAGAGAGAGAGAGAAAGCATCTGAAGTGTGGGGACAGCTGTATGGCACAGGCAAATCTTGATATGATAACTTGGGGGAACCATCTATGATGCCATGGTGACCAAGAGGTATTTGCTACCAATTTAGAAATTTATTCTATGAAGACAATGAAAATATTAAATTCTCCACAGAACAGTCTCTTGAAAATAATGCTTACAGAGGGCAACTGTGTCTGTTAGCAAGGTCTTTCTGAGAGTCTGATCATATTCTTAAACACAAGGTTGGTCTTCAGCCACAAGCGAGGACATAAAGGTGCTGCCTTGCATGGTCAGCTGCTTGGGAGGGGGAGAGCTTGGACTTCAGGAACAGGCTGGCAGGGTGGGGGACAGTCCACCCTCAAGGCTGTGTGACCTTAACTGGTTGTCTCCTCCATCCAATGGGATAATAATGCTCAAGGAGTTGTGGTGGGGAATGTATGCTTTACAGTTTGAAAGTGTAAAGTGACCTCATGGTAGTGTGTCACAGACAACAGAACAGGGCTATCTTAGTCATTACGTCAGACCCTCCACTTGTGGGTCTTGAATAGTAGTACAGCTGCCCAAGACAACCTTTAAGACATCCACAGAATTGAGTAGATGGAAAATACTTGGGACACTTCTATTCCTAGAAGTCTTTTCCCATATTGCTGTGTTTCATTTTTCTAGAAAATACTATGCTCTTCTAGTGGTAGCTGCCATTCTTGGGGACAACCAGACTTCCTGGCCTCTCAGACAAAACTTAAGACTCTTCTGGAAGATCGGAGTCCACAGGCCAGAGCTGCTTTTGGAACTTGAGCCATGGGTTAAGGTGTGCACATCTTAGTCAACCACATGCCTTTACCTAAAATAACCCCGCCCAACAATGGAAAAGCATTTGCTCCTTCAAAGGGGTAAGAAGAGGCAAGTGGTCTAGAATTCGAGTCAGAGTTTTAAAAGTCCAGTTTGCTCTCTAAATAAGTGTGGCTAAAGTACGGTGGCAGAAAGTAGCAGCAGCATAAACGTGGACATCACACAGAACCATTCTTTCCTGCTTAGACTTTCTTTCGAAATGATACTGGTGGCAGTTATGAATGGGAAAGGGACCATTCTCGGTGTCCCTCCAGAACCTGGGACTGGCTCTGCTGAGCACCCCACTCTGCTTGTGAACCCCACTTTACTCTAGCACACAAAACAGCACAGCTAGGTGAAGAGCTCTCAAAGTCAGATTCAAATGCCCCAGCTGCTGGGGAGTGACACCTGACATTCCCACGCTTCTCCACCTTTAGAATCCAGGACGACAGGATGATGGCTTTAAGATTAAGAGAGTTATTACACTTGGTACCTGTGGGATCAACAATCCCAGATACAAACTGTCTCCTATCTAGTCTAACACTTAGAACCCCTAAGTGTTCCACACTGTAGAAGGCCAGGGAGTGCAGGCTACACTCTGCTCAGAACAGGCCTGGAGAACTCCTCCAAGGGAATTTCTAATAGGGTTTTGTCATGGTCAGGAAGTGAGAGAAAGCTTCCAGCTCTTTCCAGGGAAAGTGTAGTAAGCGAGGGGCAGGTGACAGCGTGCACAGTGCTCTCTCAGTCCTCCTGACACCCCCACCTCCCACCCCCGCTCAGTAACACCCCACAGGCGTTCCTTCAGCAGTTCCACAAATAGCCATGGTATTCTCTCCTTCCCACTGAGAACGGTATCCATTCTTTAAGAGAAGACCTAACCCTGAATCTTTCATGGCCTTCCTCACGAGGTTAGCCTGTTAAGGTTCCAATACTGTCCTTGTTTTGAAAATGACTGGAGGTAACTGGCAAGTAAGGGTTAACAATGTTTTACTTCATTTGCTTGTTAATTTCTCACCTCTATCTGTGGAAGGGGAGGCAGCAATCCCCACCACAGCTGTGTGAGGTTAGTAGTGGTACCTCATTCCCCTGGGGAAGAACCAGAGAGGGGAGCTGAAGTGCCCTGCCGGGTTCCTATGACTGCAGTAACCTGGCAGTTCCCTGAACTCCCTCCGGTCTTCCCCCACCCCCATGCCACCCCTTAGCTCAGTCATTTCTCTCTGTGTCTAACTCACTTCAGTGCTCCATGGCTCTGCTGTGCCTATCTGAGCACAGGTACATGGCGGTTACAGAACAGCCTGCTCGCTGGCACTGCTGATGTGGATTGCGAGAAAGGCCTCAGAGACGAGGGTGAGAAGAAGGAACAACAGTTCTCTCATCTTCCTGCAAGTCTCTTCCATTAATGATAGCTATAGCAGTCATTAAACCATGACACTTACTCTT